GAGGAGCCGCAGGGTGAGGACGAGGAGGAGGAGGAGGAAGAGCTGCCAGCAGCTGCGGCGGAGAGCGGCGCGGAGCCGGCTGGGGCGCTGGCGGCCGAGCCGTCGTCGGCCACCCTGCGCCTGGCGCTGCCGGCGTTCCCGGCGTTCCCGGCACCTGGCTTCGCCGAAGGGCTGGCCGAGGCGGCCCTGGAGGACGGTGAGTGGCCGGGGTTGGCGCGCGGCGGGCGCGGGCACCGGCTCTCCCGCCCCAACCGGCCCTTTCCGTGTGCCCGCTGCTGCCAGTGGAGACCCTGCGGCTGCTGCTGCTGCGGCGGCTGCCGGCGGGCCGCGCCGCCGAGCCCGAGGACGACGTGACGCCCACGCCGTCCGTCACGGACGGGGCCTGGCCCTCGGCGCCGGGTGGCCGGCCCGCGGAGCACCCGGAGCAGAGCGGGGAGCAGCCGGACGCGGCGGGCGCGAGCGGCTACAGAGTCGTCCGGAAAGGTGGGTGCTGCTCGGGGCCGCGTCCCGCTGTGTCCCCCGGCTGCCACGGGGGCCCCGTGTCCCCCCAAGCTCCCGCTCGCTGCCTGCGGGAGCGTCGCTGGGACCCCCCTTGCACCCACCCCGCGTGGCAGGAGCTCTGCTGGTAGTGAGGGCCACACCGGTGCTGATGGGGGCAGGTTATGGGGTGCTGGTGGGTGCTGGTGGTGGGTGCTGGTGGTGGGTAGTGGTGTTGGTCATGGGCGCTAGTGCTGCTGGTGGGTGCTGCTGGTGGGTAGTGGTGTTGGTGATGGGTGCTAGTGCCGGTGCTGGTGGTGGGTGGTGGTGGTCGGTGCTGGTACTGGAAACTGGTGCAGGTGCTGGTGGTGGTGGGTGCTGGTGGTGGTGGTGGGTGCTAGTGTTGGTAGTGGTGGTGGGTGCTGGTGGTGGTGGGTGCTGGTGGTGGTGGTGGGTGCTGGTGGTGGTGGGTGCTGCTGGTGGGTAGTGGTGTTGGTGATGGGTGCTAGTGCTGGTGGTGGGTGCTGGTGGTGGTGGTAGGTGCTGGTACTGGGTATTGGTGCAGGTGCTGATGGTGGTGGGTGCTGGTTGTGGTGCTGGTGGCTCCTGGTGGGTGCTGGTGGTGGGTGCTCGTGGGTGGGGGCGGGGCTGTCTCACCCCTTCCTTCCCCCCCTCCCCGCCACTTTTTGGGGGCGCACAGCCCCAGAGGAGGGTGCTGAGGAGGCCACGCCCTCACCAAGCAGCAGCCAATCAGAGAATGAGCTGCAGGAAGGAGGCGGAGCTAATGTAGATGGTAACGAGCCCCCCTCCCCATTGCAGGAGCCCTGGGAGGGGGGACAAGGGGCTGCAACCCCCTCCCTGTGTCCCCTGTGTCCCCCGGAGGCCGCGTCCCCTTCCCACCAGGGCAGGGGCTGCCTTTGTGTCCCATTCCCGTGGGTGGCCACATCCCAGTGGTGGCTGTGTCCCCGTGGTAGCCACGTCCC